TTAAAAGTAAGAAGCTTTAGCTTTTCCAGAGAAAAGTTAACACTCAAATCTGGTAGCTAAAAGGCTTGGCTTCCTTAACCTGGCAAAAATATCTCATTAGTCATTTTTGCCATATTGCTGTGATAAGTCTTTATTGTTTGTGGATTAGAGGGTTTCCTCAGGAACTGTGTTCTTCTAGAGATTGCCAGAAGGGAATTGCTCTCTGTGTGAATAAGGAGAGCACTCAGTGAGAGTGGGGCAATATCAAACGTGTCCACAGATGTACACCTGAACCTCACATTAGCAGAAGGACAGGTGCATAATCATCTTGTTGAATATACAATTGAAACAACTACACGCTGTTGAACTGTTAGGCTTTCAGCTCCTGCAGGTGATTCAGGCTTCCTTTGAGCTTTTAAGTGTGAAGCTTAAAAAACTTTGTGTTGTAAAGGAAGGGCAACTGTGTTCTCACAGAGTGTTTGGCTGCATTGCAACAAACCTGGTTACTGATGCCCAGGCATACTTTGATTGATGCACAGATCAAATGACTGCTGGGAGTGGCTTTTGGGGTGACGTCCCACGTACAATGATGTCAGCAAAAGATTTTAAAAAATTCAGGTGTGGCATAATCTGCCAATTAAACTGATTAGTGCTCTGGCTGAGTCCTGAGAAGGAGCTCTGACTGCAGCCCTGCTTGTTGGAGTCTTTCATGTAGTGCCTTTGGCTCACCTTATACTTTTACCAAGTACCTTCACTGCAGGGTGCAGTAAATTGTGGTAGGATACCCTACCAAGGGCTGTGTGCTAGCTCACTTGCCATCAGGGGAAATCTGATACTGGCTCACAAATGTCCCTGACTGCTTGGAAGCTGTGACACTGGAAGAGGTCCTGCGACTCCCGTGGGATCGGGATCGGGATGGAGTGCATCACTGCTCTGTTGGCAGAGGTGAAAGCTACCCAGGAGGCAATGCAGGCTGGGCAGAATGCACTGAAGCATGATGTGGAAACATCTCAGAAGGAAATCAGAACTGTGTTAGCAATGCAGAGGAGCCAGCAACAGGTGAAAGAAGATATCAAAGCAGAGGTGAAGTCCAGTCACTTGGATATAAGAACTGTGCTTGAGGAAATCCAACGAGTAAGAGAAGAAATGGAAGCTCGATTAAATACTCAGGCTGATCTGGTCTTACTGATCAAAGAAGTGAGCACCAATTTAACGTGTGTAGACAAGGCTTTCCAGAAAATGGAGGAGAGGCAGAAAGTTTTTACCAGCCTGCATCTTCCCACGAGAGAAAATGTTGAGCAAGGATTTTTCTTTGAAAAATGCTTACACCAGATGCACATGGGTTTTGAAAGACCTGTGGAAGCTAACAATTTGGATGAGGAATGTGAAAAGGTGTCTGGGGGTAAGACAATTGTGATTGCAAGTGTGGGGAGAGAAGTGAGGTTGTTTCTATTTATGCTTGTCAAGAAACTTGTTTAATCTATTTTGAATGCTTTTAAGTGATTTAATTGTTTTTATAAATTGAATCTCTTGCTTAAAATAATTTCTAGTTAGTGTAGATATTACTACACATACCTTCCTAGTACATGATAGGCAAAGGAAGACTTTGATTTGGTTCTGCAAACTGAAAAAGTGTATTAGAGACTTTTCTGGTAATCCAGCAACAATGCACAAGATAGGGAGGCTCAGTAAACCAGTAGCACAATGCGAGCTCTGAGGTAGCCAGCCAGACAAATACTATGTCAAGTACTGGGCAGAACCCCAGCACCTAAATGTAACTTTATGAAACACACCCTGTGTACTGACAGTTGGGTATTTCTTGCTTCTGAACAGCTATTAACTAGAGAAGCTATGCATGAGAAACAGTTTGCTTCATGGAGAAGCTTGGAAAGGGTTTAATGCTCTCCCCAGTGAACTGGAGTCAGCCAGCTCTGTGCCGTCCGTACAATGGAGGGAGTGAGAGGATTTGTGGACCTTTTCCAAGATCCAGATCAGATCTTCTGTGAACGATTCAATGATCGAAAGTCTTAGTTTTTGCAAAATCACTACTATTTTTTTTTTCTTTACTTATATGAAGAAGAATACAACTTTAGATGGTGTACTACATGCAGTACTTGAAAATCTGAGTTTCAGTCTTCCAAAAGCAAGCTTTTCAACCACATTGAGTAAAGTGGTTTTGAGCCTGCTGGAAAGGAGTCCAGAACCTGATTTAAAGTGATTTAAACACAGAAATTGTTCAGCATTATGAGTCTGACACTACAGAGGTGGCAGATGAACAGGCCCAAGTGAGGAGGAATTGGGCTGTTAACAAATACCATCTTGAAATTACACTCTGTCATTGATGTGGTGGTATCAGTAATCAGACTCATGATGCTTTTGTCTTAATGAAAGCATGGCTTTTGTTTTGACACCACAGCATGTGTTCTATACAAATCTGGAAACGATCTGTCATTGCCCAGAGGTACGTAGGCCATAAATAAACATCGTAGTGTCAGTGGTGTTAATCTGTAGAGGCAGTTCATGCTACAGAGGGTTCATGCTTTTCAGCATTTGAAGTGGCTCTGTATAGCACATGTTTATGATAAAATTGCCAACAGGAATGTCACTGAGTCTCACTTCATCCATGTTTTTTGTTCAGCTTTTTTTAGTATAGTATCAGGGGTTGGCTTGGTTGGATGCTTGAATGAGTTTCTTGGAAAATACTTGGTGATCTAGGCAGCAGGATAAAAGTAGTGGAATGAAACTGACAATGTGATAAGGGCTGCCTGAACTCTGGAAACAATGGCTATTTGGAATCTTTTGTAATTTGTAGCTAGCTATTGTATCACTGCATTTAAATGAAATTTCTTCATTAGGTAACTAACTGTGTGATGTAATTTTTTTCCCAGAGTAAAAATTGTCTGCAATTTTTCAGGTTTAATACTGCTCTGTCAGGGTCTTCAAAATGGTTGTAAAACCAATTTCAAATACTTAATTAAATTATTAATTAACTAGCATTTGTATCAGTGAATTTACCCATACTCTTATGTCAAGAATAATGCTGTAGTTCTCTACTTGTCATAAGTGGAGCATTCAGGAAGGGAGGTGGAATAGATGAGAGAGTAGGAGTATGTAAGCCAGTAGGGAAGGGAAGAGCTGACTCTACATGTTTATTCTCTAGTCCCTGCTCTTTTTTTTTTCCTGTCTTCTTGATTATTATCCCTTATGATTTTTGAATGAGCTTCAGAAGGTAACCAGTAACTTCCTACACACAGATTGTCCATAACATTGGTGGAAATTTGACCAGGTTGCTCTTAGATGTGAACTGGCATTTGTGTAAAAATGTCTACTCAAGAGACATTGTTATAGCTTCACAGTAAGAAAAGAAGTGGTCATGTTAGTTAAATGGTGGTAAAAATAACTAGAACTGGCAGCCAAGCACAATCCTTTTGTCCTACAAATTTGTATTTTGATTTGGGCTGATGTACCTTTTAATAGCTCTAATATTAACCTGTACGATGGTATGTTTCTACTTGAAAGTATACCTTTTAACAGTCTGCATCTCTGAGCAGAAGAGTAGGGAAATCTCCAAGAGTACAAGGGCATTTGAACATTATAAAGCATGATATGCTGACAATTCTCTAACTGGCAGAAAATCTTTCCCAGAGAGGATTTATCTGCAAAATTAATAGGCTCAGGAAGCACTTTATACCAGGCTCAGTAAGGAAGGCACAGAGGATTGTTAGTATTTTGAACAGGAAAACTGTTTTCAAAGACTTTAAAATCAAATGCAGGCTGTGGAAGACTGATATATTACTACAATAGCTGATATGTCAGCCAGACTAACATTAACTGAGAATCAAAGCTTTTGTTCTTAATACTGTCTCCAGTTGTGAGATTGAAACTTACATTGCTGGGATGATTCTAGGGTCATCTGACAACCTCCAAACCAGGTGCTTGGCATTCAGAAAGGATTGAATCTTGTTGGTTAGTTTGTCCCTGTTTCCACAGAATCACTGGGTTGGAAGAGACCTTTAAGATGCATGTTCCTATCTTTCTTTTCTCCAGATCTCACCTCTCAGGTTTTTTCACTCTATCGTGAGGAAATCTTGTTAAGTTGAAACTGTACAAAGTAATCTGCTTAGATGTCTTCATTAAATTGCCAAGGGATATTTATCTGTTGCATCAGCCTTTTATTGCAAAATTGTTTGCTCATTCCCTTTGTGATCAAGGGGGGAAGACTGGCCCTATCTGCACAGCTGTACCGTACACCCTTTCCAGTCTGAAGACAGCAGAGAAACATGAAAATGTTTACAAAAAAAGTGCTGATTTATGTAATCTGGTTTCCTCTGACATGAGATGATTGTGTACTGTGAAAGCATTGAGGTTGCCACAAAACTAAGAATACTAAATCAATAATGTAATTTAAATGTATGTGAATATATATTGAAATATATTACATTTTAGAGTTTTTTTTAAAAAGTCTTATCCTTGTGACTGAAAATTGCTAGCACTAAGAAATGATGCAAAACTTCTAGTTGATAAAGCTCAGGCCTCAGCTGCAGAGAGGGGAGATTTTCCAATTAAAATTTTAAAAGGAAGAAGAATAACAAAGGAAATGTAGAGAAAATGGTTTTGTAGTCAGCAGTACTTTAGAGTGCAGGAAACAGGAAATCTGTGTTGCGCACAAAAGTGGACAACTCTTACGTTAGAAATAAGTTACTGAATAGATAGGATGATAGAGGTCTTGCACTTTATAAAAGTATTTTTTCAATGCCCAGTGTGAAGAGTATGCTCAAAAGTATGTCACAGAATACATGGAGATGAGGATGAAGTGCAAAACACTGTATCCAAAGTTATAGTGTTAGGAATTAACAGATTGGTAGTGCCTGGTCTGCAGTGCTACTGAAATAACCCTTTCTCCTAGTTAGTAATTCAGCAAGTGTTTGTAGGAATTTATAAGTACTTCCTTTTGTACCTGTCCTTTACATTTTGGTGAGATTTCAGCATGAAATGCATATTAATTTGTTGTTGTTTCTTAGTTGACAAGGTCAAGCAGCGGAGTCCCAAGAGCTCATGCATACGGACTCAAGCCTCCGCAGATGCACGTTCACCTGGCACAAAAGCAGCCGAGTTGACACAATACAAAACAAAATGTGAGACCCAAAGTGGAATCATCGTGCAGCTGAAAAAATTCCTGACATCCAGTAACCAGAAGTTTGAAGCATTAACAGTTGTCATCCAGCACCTGCAGTCTGAGGTAAAAACACACAGCTCATCAATTTTGACTTTAATTGTTTGAACTCTTCCCAGCAAGGGCTTCAGGAAATACTAATATACTGATAGTAAATTCTGTATTTCCATTCTAGTGCTTTCTCTTTCCCTGTGGAAGTTATACTTCTAGCATCAGTTGGCTAGAAAAAAAATCAAACCCATGACACTGGGTTTTGTGGCCTCTGCATGCTTCACATGCTCTGAAAAAGAGTTTTTAAATGTTTGTAGCCAGAGAGTCCTTCAGGGCTGAGTAGCTTTCCAAGTATGTACTTCAAGTTCTGCCCTTGTAGGAAAGACTAATTTCAACAGATAATCTACATGGCCTTGCTTTGTTATCTGACATTGGATGGAAGAGTATTTGAGGGTTGGAGATGTTTTTGAGCTACTCAGAATGAAGTCCAAATTGTCACAATTTTATTTATTGAATCCTGCACTATTGATGGTTTCTTAAAATTATTAATAAAAATACAGAAATGCATCTGGAATTATAGAGTGGAATGAATCTGATGTGTCTTAATCTTGATTTTTCTAATCTGTTTGAAATATGTAGTGACAATCAGTTTGATACTACACTAGAAACTGTCGGTCTGCTTTGAAAACTTTTGAGAAAAGAAAAATGTGAAGTCAAGGAAATTATAGCAGTTATGAGTTTATACTGCACTGCTGATGCAGGCTTTAATAGCCATTTCTCTTGCACTTAGAACTCGTGTTCCAAGATTGGTATGAATTTCATTTCAACTCTTCTGCTACATGGTGATTTTATGGTCTGGTATACAGAAAAAGCACTATATTTTCTTAGTATTCTGGCAGAAATGTCACATTCTCATGGGATAATATCTGCTTGCTTTCATTTAATCTAAAAATACTGCATTTATCTCCTAGTCTGGTTCAACTCTAAGAACAATGGCTCTTAGCCAGTTTCTTGGGATTGGTTTGGTTGGGTTTTTTAAACTCTTGGTTGAAACACCTTTCTCTGCCTAAGGAACTAGTTTGAGATCTTCAAAGCAATATGGTACAGGTTTTTTGGGTGCCTGTCATCTAACATGATATTGTGAAATTTCAAGTGAAATTCTCACTGCTAATTTTCTACTCTAGAATAAGCACACTGATTTTTTTTTTTGGTAACTCTTACAATTAAATGTCTTGGCCTAGTTTCTTCTCTCAAATATATTTTATTGCAACATTCTAAAACTCACAAATGCTTTATAAATATAATTTTTAGTAAGAAGAAGCCCATCATACTAATTTCTTCAAGACTATTTTGCAGGTTGCTCTAGCCTAAATGTGGGGTTTTTAAAAGAATAATCAGGGATTTAATTAAGAAGAAAATATTTTGAAGGAGGGAAGAGAGAACTACATGGAAGAAACTAGTGATTTTGCTCTTTATTCCTCTTTGTTAGTCTTTTGCAGATAGAAAGAAAAGAAACATCTCTGTCAAATTATGTAAAATTAATAATCTTGGACAGTTAAGTTTGAGCACATGCAATTGAGCTAGATATGACACATAGATGTATTTTCATACCAGTTACTGATTTTGAGGTTTCTCTCTCCTTTCCTGGGATAAGACAATACTTGCTGAAGACTCATTTCCTTACTCTTGTGGAAGTACGATAGGGGATGGGAAGAACTCTTTTGCCATGGTGCTGTAAGGAATATTTAAAATCTGTTAGCTGTGGGAAACATCATGAAGGATTTCACTTTTCTAAGGAGCACTGTGAAGAGTAGTTTCAGTTTTGTTAATTTGTTTGGTTTTTTTTCCTTTAGGGTGAGGGATGGAGTCTGGTATAGCTAAAAGTCTTAGCTGCCCATACAATTATTTTTCTGAAGCATCTCTTGGGGACTCCTTTGATGTAGTTTTCAAACCTTGGATTATCTCAGGGACAAACTTCAAGTTAGGCTCTAACTCATGAGGTAGGGTCTCATAGGTTAACTACTGCACAGCCAACTGAAAGTAAAAATTAAAAATCATGCTTAGTTGATTACATGAAAAACAAAGCTGTGCTTCCATTCTTCCCAGTAGAGCAAGTGCGAAGTGACATGATGCAGCCTAAGAAACAGCTTGCTTTGGACTCCTCTGGTGCTGCTCTGTCCCTACAGAAAGCCAATTCAGCCTGCTACTACCAGAAAGCTAAACCAGCCAAAGAGCATTTCTTTGCCAGGTGATGATGTGGATTGTCCTAACATTTTGTCAGAGACACTGTGAGGGTGAGATGTGGTGAAGGCCAAACAGAGTAAAGTACTGGAGTGAGCACTTGGGTCATTTCAAGGCTGGGCAGCCCAGCCTGAGCCTCTTGGCAATATCTGCTGTAGCCTCTCCTGCTTTTGCTCCAAAGCTGAAACGACTGGGATATGATTTTGCTGTTAGATTTGTTTGGTTTTACTGTCATGTTGTTTTTATTTTTTTCCCCAAGAGTTCCCAATGCATTTCTTCACAAAAGATTGAAGTTATTTCTTATGAGCTCATTTGAAGTGGAATATAGCTGTGAACAAAATCAGGGCTTTCTGGCAAAGATGTCTGTCAAAACTGCAACTAGCCCATCTGGAGTGAGGTTGAGAGGCTGCTGTCAAAGGGTTAAATGGGATTAAGCAATGCTGCTCTGCTGTTTCTAGCTGAGCAGGAATCTTTCAAAAAAAACAGAGCTCAAACCTGTTTGTTGCAAGAGTTACCTTGGAGCTGTCAATAGTAACAGCTGCTTCTGATAAAACCTTCCCACTGATCTGTCAGTGTTTCTTTAGGGGGGTGAGGAGGGTGTTTATACTTAGCTACCTTTACCAAGACTCTTCTGAGTTTAAAAATCCTAAAAGCCTGATTTCTACCTCACAGGTGCTATTGTTTTGCCCCAACAAAGCTGGGTTAATGCTAGATGGAAAACCTCTTGGCATCCAGAGCATTTGATGGCAATGAACAGTGTGGCTGATGAGAACACAGGATTTTTCCATTGTTGGACAACTGTGTGTGTGCTGGCAGTGATAGGAACACGTGATAAACTGAACACTAATCACAAAAGCAAGTTGAGCCTTTCTAGAGTACTGCGCTTCCCCTGATCCCTTGGTAATTCCAGTTACTTCATTACTACTTTCCTGTTTTTTAAGTTCAAACAAGAAACGAAGAGTGGCAGTACAGAGGAAATGGTGAAAGTTGCCATTTACAATAAGTGCATGAAGTGCCAAGGAAAGCAGTTTTCCATTAACCTTCAGCTGCACTGAGCTCTGAAATTTGCACTGCTTCATTTGAGTTGATCTTTTAGCTTCCGCTAGTATTCATTTTGAATTTATTGTGTCTTCAGTAAGAGATATGTTCATGTTTAAATATGTGGTTAGCATGTCTGTGCTAGTCAGGTTGGGGATGCCACTCCTGCAGCTCTCCCCTCTCTTCCCTAGCCCATGTGTATGCTTGGGCTTCTTTGGGAAGCCAGTAAAAAAAGTTATTATGAGTCTAGTTTTGCAGGTCTATCCATGTCAAAAGTGTTTTGGGTACGTCCCCATGTAGTGGTTCACTGTGGGAAGGAGTGGAAGTGAAGAGCCACCAGGGGTGGGGTGGGAATGTGTGCCTGAGAGGTCTGCAGCTGTGGCTGGGAGCCAGATGCTCCCTTGGGAAGCAAAAAGCTCCAGTACATCAGCAGCTGATGAGGCTGAGACTACGGCAGCTTCTGCATGAGCTTCTGCTTTTTGCCTCCTGAGAAGTGTTCAGCCCCTTCCCCTGCCTCAGGGCTGTCCCCCAAGGCTGTGTGAGCCCTGCAGCTGGGCTGTTCTAACCTCCAACTCACTGCTGTGTATAAACTCTGACATCGTTGGCAGTGGAGGGTGATGTTTTAGTAGTGTGGTCCTAGCTTGATTTTAAATTTGTCTGTCTAAGGCAGATTTAGTTGTCAAAGGAAATGGTTATGGCTTTGTAACTGTTCAAAGTGTGAACTGACATATATTTCATCTTCTCATTTTAGTGCATAAACTGCTATGTTCAGAACTACTACCTAAGCTGATTAAAAAAAATTATTCTGCTATAGAAATGAGCTTCCAAATTTGTATCTGTGAAACAGGGTACTAGAGAGATGAAAAGAAGCTCAATTTCACTGTTGTGCTTTTCTTGCTATGGTCATGGGAAGAAGTTTCTTTAGTAGAGGAAAAGGCCATTTGAGAAGGGTATAGAGCCTTCACAGTAATAGGTGGATAGCACTAATTGTGGATGTGACACAGGAAACAGCATGAGGAGTGTGCTAGAAATTGTGTGACTGATCAGGCTTCAGCATTTCTAGGTGGAAATAGGAATTGACCATTAGTATATGAGCTGTTGCAACTGGCATTTCCTGACTTGTACATGACTGTAAGAGTCAAGATACTAGCTTCCTTGGGAACTTAGCAGTTTAAAACTTTTTTTTTTTCTTTTCCATTTTGGAATACATGAACACATCTATCAGAAATGTTTGTCCTGGCCTTTGTGGAAGTTCAGCAGAAAATGTTTCTATTTATCAAATGAGAAATGCATATCTAGGTTAAGGGGCAGAAGTACACATTGCATCACTAAACCCCAAGAGTTTTGGAACAGTCATATCTTTTGACCTCTAAGTCCTCTTGTTTAGTGAAGCTGTCTTTGAGTAAAACTGTTAGTTTTGATTTTCTAGAACTTAAAATCAAACTTGGCTAGTTTTCATTAGAATTGTCATACCAGGTGTATCTGGCTTCCCAAAATACAGACATGAATTTTTACGAGAGAGAATAAGGATATGTAATTAAGATAATTTTTGTGCTTCTGTACTTGAAAAAAAAAGACATAAAAATCACTTACAAGTCAAAATGTAATATCCTGATCTTGAGCAATGCAAATATTTTTTTGTTATGTAACAAAGGGTATTTGAGTAAAACCACAGTAGCTTCCTCCATAGAGAAAACTTAGACTGTGGAAGCCCGTGTCTGACAGGTAGGAGTTGGAAAGCAAGGAAGTTTCAGATGATTTTCTAGGTCTCTATAAAACATGGTATTGAATGAACA